CAAGCATGCCTTCTGGGCTGACAGCCTGGGACTTTGGGGCGAAGTCTATCAGGACGCTATGGAACGCCTCCAAGGCATATGTCTGGCCATGGGAAGCCCAGAAGGATGTGTTTTAAAGTCTTTAGATACTGATACTCTTCCATTGTTTAATTAACACATTTTAGAACATCCATTTTTATACACATTTCTTTAGCCTCTCACCCAGACTCACCGCCCTTGAAAGCAGATAAACAGTTTAAAAATATAATCATCGTAAAGTTTATTTTCAGTTTCAAATATTATAATCATCACCAAAATTCACGAGATATCGAATAAAATGCACTTTTGGAAAGATGAAAAGCTTTTATTCAGTCAACAAAACAAAATATTTGTAGAAACGATTAAGACTTTACTGTAATATTTGCAAACAATAATTCAGGTAATTTTTGAATTACAAATTCGTTGAAATCTTTACGTGAAAAAGTTGTTTCACCGACGAGACAAATTGTTTTCAACTTGGGTAGCTTTTCGGCAATCGTGGATAACACCATTGGGGTGATATTTTGAATCTGTCGAATTGACAAATGTTCCAGATGCCGAAGTTCTCTACAGACATAGTCAATCGTCTTGTCAGTGCAGTCGGATCCGTCCATGATATCCATTACTCTACAGGCTTTGAAATTATCACAAATATCACTAATAAATTCGTCGTTACACACCATGCTGTTAAAGGTACGAATATATCTGCACTTTGGGTCCATTTTGTCGTCTGTAAAATGCATAGTAAATAGCATATCGTCATCTTTACAGAAGAATCAATGTAGTTTATTAATGTCAACTCTACCTACGAAGATATCCAAAGCGAATTGAAGAGGGATGCAATCCTGTCGCACGAAACATCCTGGCAACACGTTTGTTGGAGCTACAGGTTTCGGAATTTTGGCATCACTTTTGTCTGTGTGCATATAATTAATAGCTGTTTTACAATTTCCTTTACAGTAAGATTTCAAGTCTTCATACGAACAAGTACAGATGATCTTTGTGTACCCCATCTTTGGCTTATATGAAAAAGTCAGTCAGTCAGAGTTTTAAGAGTAAGCTTGGTGCTTACTGTAGTTATATACCCCCCTTTTTTACCGTTTACAAATATGAAATCTTTTTAATTTCATCGTTTTTTGCACATTTTTCTTGGTGCAAGTTTATTTCAATATCTATTTCAAAACAAAACGAAAACATAAAAATATGCACGATATTAAAGTACTTACCTTTTTTATACTTTTAAAATATATAGAATGAGAATTCTCATTTAAGTAAAACAAAATATACTTTTCAACAAGTGAGCAATGTTTATTGAATCAAAACAACAACATAATACATTAGTAAAGTTCATTTCATTCACATATTAAACAAACAACAGAAATTCAATGAATAGTACAGTAGGCATAGTCCAGTTCCGGTTGGTTTTGAGCGAAGCTGTAAAAGTCGAAATCGGTAATATTTGAACAACCGACTATGCACAGTGTCTTGAGTCTCAGGTTAGCACTTGTTAAAACAGACAATGCAGTTGCATCAACTTGTTTGCAATTATAAATTGCCAAATGTTTCAAGTTTGCTTCCTTTTGAGCAATCATTTCGATCCCCTTGTTCGTTATTTTTTGGGCATGGGACAGGCTCAAATATTTCAGATTTGGCAACTTCCTGACAAGCACTTCAACACATTCATCTCTAAAATCATTGAAGATGAAAGAAGCATCGACATATTCGATGTGTTCTGGCAAATGTTTGATCCATCTGAAATCGGTCACAAACACGCGACTAATGTTCCTTGTGGTCAAACGCTTAATGACACTATTTTTGGGTGCACCGTCTAGATGCATCATTATAGGATTGCCCTCCCAAAAATCATTCAACCGATAACAAATGTCTTTTCATGACGTGAATAAGTGGACAGAACATCCAGCATCCAGTATGTTAAGATGGCGGAAAACTTCTTGAGTCTCGGCAACGGAGATGTCGTGGTCAACGAGTCCGCTGCGTACATATGCGCCGTACATTGGAAACATCTCGTTTCGGCCGTTGCAGAAAGGTGGATTCTACGAGTATAAATAAGTCAAATTAGATTTTTATGCACTCCTACTATGATTTTCAAAAAAAAATCCAAATCACTCACCCAATCCACTCCAAATGTAAGATCTCCCTCGGAATACCAATCCATGTCCACACGTTATTTCGCAAAGTCATAAAGTAGTCGTAAAAATGATTTTTGGAAGTCTATAAGAGTTTGGGTGTGATTCGAAGTGTTGTTGGTGTTGTGACAAGGACAATCATCATCCTTCTCACCCCCAAATATTTTAACCAACCACAAGCTAGTATACCCCCCCTCCCCCCCAAAGCCATCTACCAATTATGTACATTTTTCTTTCAAAGTAGAACCTGTATTGACAAAAGTTAAGTGGTCGAAAGAAGGAATTTTACTCACCCCCAAATATTTTAACCAACCACAAGCTAGTATACCCCCCCTCCCCCCCAAAGCCATCTACCAATTATGTACATTTTTCTTTCAAAGTAGAACCTGTATTGACAAAAGTTAAGTGGTCGAAAGAAGGAATTTTACTCGTAATCTGCGACGTCTGGGGAAGCCTGGGAGAGGAGAGTCCCTGTGATAAGAGGATTTCTCCCTCTTCTCTCGCGGTTGCCCGAGAGCTGACGGGAAACTCTTCCCGGGCATGCGCTGTGAGCAGTTAGCACAAATATGGCGTCCAGTGAATACCACCTATGTAGTACCGCTCGTTGGAATTAGCTACAGCATGAGCAATGTCAAGTGGTGAACGACACCCAAGAGCACAGCGTGCGTTTACACCTCTGTGAACTTGAGGTCAAACTTGGTCAAGTTTACGGCTGCTGGGGAACCCTTGTTGTCATTGATGTCATCCGGCGGGTCGAGGATCGGGCTGAGGGGCTGCACGGGTGCTCGTGAGGGCCTGTTGTAGCAGGTTGGCAGCTGGCAGAACGTCTCCTCGCACGTATGACACGATGGCAACACCGTCCACTACTGCCCACGCCGGTCGGGGCCGGTTCAGCACCACGTGCAGGGCTCGGATTGCATCCAAGTCCAGGGTCCGGTGGAGTTCTCGGCACCCCAGGGGCGCACTAGGGGTTGATGGCCTCGAGATGTCAGAGAAGCACGGGGGGGTGCATATGTGCGTACGTGCTTGCTTCGGGAAAGGGATTTGGCCCTTGGGGTACACCTAGGGTGCTCTTGGTTGCCGCTGGGGGGTTGGTATGATAACATTCCTAGGCTCTCTGGGCAAGGCATTCACACTGCAGTTGGTGTTATACTCACTGTAAGTTGGATCCGTAATGTCTGGTCGTGCTGTGTGGTGGCCCTTTCGTGCTTTCAATGTTATGACCGACCAGCATGGCTTGCACTCTCGTGTGACAGCTTGGCAGCGGTTCGAGTTTTCATTGAAATGCAGGATTGCAAATCGAGTCCTGCAAGATGGTTACATTTCACTGATGGTAAAGTGTGCCACAAACAGAGTGGTTGTTCTGGCATCAATCCAATTCCATTATCTGATCATTAGGAAGTGACTTGGGTTTGTCGCATTGTAACCAATGGACTGGATGAAAGTGTCTAAACGAGGGAAATGTGATTGTAAATTGGTTGACTTGCTTTGCAAGCATGCCTTCTGGGCTGACAGCCTGGGACTTTGGGGCGAAGTCTATCAGGACGCTATGGAACGCCTCCAAGGCATATGTCTGGCCATGGGAAGCCCAGAAGGATGTGTTTTAAAGTCTTTAGATACTGATACTCTTCCATTGTTTAATAAACACATTTTAGAACATCCATTTTTATACACATTTCTTTAGCCTCTCACCCAGACTCACCGCCCTTGAAAGCAGATAAACAGTTTAAAAATATAATCATCGTAAAGTTTATTTTCAGTTTCAAATATTATAATCATCACCAAAATTCACGAGATATCGAATAAAATGCACTTTTGGAAAGATGAAAAGCTTTTATTCAGTCAACAAAACAAAATATTTGTAGAAACGATTAAGACTTTACTGTAATATTTGCAAACAATAATTCAGGTAATTTTTGAATTACAAATTCGTTGAAATCTTTACGTGAAAAAGTTGTTTCACCGACGAGACAAATTGTTTTCAACTTGGGTAGCTTTTCGGCAATCGTGGATAACACCATTGGGGTGATATTTTGAATCTGTCGAATTGACAAATGTTCCAGATGCCGAAGTTCTCTACAGACATAGTCAATCGTCTTGTCAGTGCAGTCGGATCCGTCCATGATATCCATTACTCTACAGGCTTTGAAATTATCACAAATATCACTAATAAATTCGTCGTTACACACCATGCTGTTAAAGGTACGAATATATCTGCACTTTGGGTCCATTTTGTCGTCTGTAAAATGCATAGTAAATAGCATATCGTCATCTTTACAGAAGAATCGATGTAGTTTATTAATGTCAACTCTACCTACGAAGATATCCAAAGCGAATTGAAGAGGGATGCAATCCTGTCGCACGAAACATCCTGGCAACACGTTTGTTGGAGCTACAGGTTTCGGAATTTTGGCATCACTTTTGTCTGTGTGCATATAATTAATAGCTGTTTTACAATTTCCTTTACAGTAAGATTTCAAGTCTTCATACGAACAAGTACAGATGATCTTTGTGTACCCCATCTTTGGCTTATATGAAAAAGTCAGTCAGTCAGAGTTTTAAGAGTAAGCTTGGTGCTTACTGTAGTTATATACCCCCCTTTTTTACCGTTTACAAATATGAAATCTTTTTAATTTCATCGTTTTTTGCACATTTTTCTTGGTGCAAGTTTATTTCAATATCTATTTCAAAACAAAACGAAAACATAAAAATATGCACGATATTAAAGTACTTACCTTTTTTATACTTTTAAAATATATAGAATGAGAATTCTCATTTAAGTAAAACAAAATATACTTTTCAACAAGTGAGCGATGTTTATTGAATCAAAACAACAACATAATACATTAGTAAAGTTCATTTCATTCACATATTAAACAAACAACAGAAATTCAATGAATAGTACAGTAGGCATAGTCCAGTTCCGGTTGGTTTTGAGCGAAGCTGTAAAAGTCGAAATCGGTAATATTTGAACAACCGACTATGCACAGTGTCTTGAGTCTCAGGTTAGCACTTGTTAAAACAGACAATGCAGTTGCATCAACTTGTTTGCAATTATAAATTGCCAAATGTTTCAAGTTTGCTTCCTTTTGAGCAATCATTTCGATCCCCTTGTTCGTTATTTTTTGGGCATGGGACAGGCTCAAATATTTCAGATTTGGCAACTTCCTGACAAGCACTTCAACACATTCATCTCTAAAATCATTGAAGATGAAAGAAGCATCGACATATTCGATGTGTTCTGGCAAATGTTTGATCCATCTGAAATCGGTCACAAACACGCGACTAATGTTCCTTGTGGTCAAACGCTTAATGACACTATTTTTGGGTGCACCGTCTAGATGCATCATTATAGGATTGCCCTCCCAAAAATCATTCAACCGATAACAAATGTCTTTTCATGACGTGAATAAGTGGACAGAACATCCAGCATCCAGTATGTTAAGATGGCGGAAAACTTCTTGAGTCTCGGCAACGGAGATGTCGTGGTCAACGAGTCCGCTGCGTACATATGCGCCGTACATTGGAAACATCTCGTTTCGGCCGTTGCAGAAAGGTGGATTCTACGAGTATAAAAAAGTCAAATTAGATTTTTATGCACTCCTACTATGATTTTCAAAAAAAAATCCAAATCACTCACCCAATCCACTCCAAATGTAAGATCTCCCTCGGAATACCAATCCATGTCCACACGTTATTTCGCAAAGTCATAAAGTAGTCGTAAAAATGATTTTTGGAAGTCTATAAGAGTTTGGGTGTGATTCGAAGTGTTGTTGGTGTTGTGACAAGGACAATCATCATCCTTCTCACCCCCAAATATTTTAACCAACCACAAGCTAGTATACCCCCCCTCCCCCCCAAAGCCATCTACCAATTATGTACATTTTTCTTTCAAAGTAGAACCTGTATTGACAAAAGTTAAGTGGTCGAAAGAAGGAATTTTACTCACCCCCAAATATTTTAACCAACCACAAGCTAGTATACCCCCCTCCCCCCCAAAGCCATCTACCAATTATGTACATTTTTCTTTCAAAGTAGAACCTGTATTGACAAAAGTTAAGTGGTCGAAAGAAGGAATTTTACTCGTAATCTGCGACGTCTGGGGAAGCCTGGGAGAGGAGAGTCCCTGTGATAAGAGGATTTCTCCCTCTTCTCTCGCGGTTGCCCGAGAGCTGACGGGAAACTCTTCCCGGGCATGCGCTGTGAGCAGTTAGCACAAATATGGCGTCCAGTGAATACCACCTATGTAGTACCGCTCGTTGGAATTAGCTACAGCATGAGCAATGTCAAGTGGTGAACGACACCCAAGAGCACAGCGTGCGTTTACACCTCTGTGAACTTGAGGTCAAACTTGGTCAAGTTTACGGCTGCTGGGGAACCCTTGTTGTCATTGATGTCATCCGGCGGGTCGAGGATCGGGCTGAGGGGCTGCACGGGTGCTCGTGAGGGCCTGTTGTAGCAGGTTGGCAGCTGGCAGAACGTCTCCTCGCACGTATGACACGATGGCAACACCGTCCACTACTGCCCACGCCGGTCGGGGCCGGTTCAGCACCACGTGCAGGGCTCGGATTGCATCCAAGTCCAGGGTCCGGTGGAGTTCTCGGCACCCCAGGGGCGCACTAGGGGTTGATGGCCTCGAGATGTCAGAGAAGCACGGGGGGGTGCATATGTGCGTACGTGCTTGCTTCGGGAAAGGGATTTGGCCCTTGGGGTACACCTAGGGTGCTCTTGGTTGCCGCTGGGGGGTTGGTATGATAACATTCCTAGGCTCTCTGGGCAAGGCATTCACACTGCAGTTGGTGTTATACTCACTGTAAGTTGGATCCGTAATGTCTGGTCGTGCTGTGTGGTGGCCCTTTCGTGCTTTCAATGTTATGACCGACCAGCATGGCTTGCACTCTCGTGTGACAGCTTGGCAGCGGTTCGAGTTTTCATTGAAATGCAGGATTGCAAATCGAGTCCTGCAAGATGGTTACATTTCACTGATGGTAAAGTGTGCCACAAACAGAGTGGTTGTTCTGGCATCAATCCAATTCCATTATCTGATCATTAGGAAGTGACTTGGGTTTGTCGCATTGTAACCAATGGACTGGATGAAAGTGTCTAAACGAGGGAAATGTGATTGTAAATTGGTTGACTTGCTTTGCAAGCATGCCTTCTGGGCTGACAGCCTGGGACTTTGGGGCGAAGTCTATCAGGACGCTATGGAACGCCTCCAAGGCATATGTCTGGCCATGGGAAGCCCAGAAGGATGTGTTTTAAAGTCTTTAGATACTGATACTCTTCCATTGTTTAATTAACACATTTTAGAACATCCATTTTTATACACATTTCTTTAGCCTCTCACCCAGACTCACCGCCCTTGAAAGCAGATAAACAGTTTAAAAATATAATCATCGTAAAGTTTATTTTCAGTTTCAAATATTATAATCATCACCAAAATTCACGAGATATCGAATAAAATGCACTTTTGGAAAGATGAAAAGCTTTTATTCAGTCAACAAAACAAAATATTTGTAGAAACGATTAAGACTTTACTGTAATATTTGCAAACAATAATTCAGGTAATTTTTGAATTACAAATTCGTTGAAATCTTTACGTGAAAAAGTTGTTTCACCGACGAGACAAATTGTTTTCAACTTGGGTAGCTTTTCGGCAATCGTGGATAACACCATTGGGGTGATATTTTGAATCTGTCGAATTGACAAATGTTCCAGATGCCGAAGTTCTCTACAGACATAGTCAATCGTCTTGTCAGTGCAGTCGGATCCGTCCATGATATCCATTACTCTACAGGCTTTGAAATTATCACAAATATCACTAATAAATTCGTCGTTACACACCATGCTGTTAAAGGTACGAATATATCTGCACTTTGGGTCCATTTTGTCGTCTGTAAAATGCATAGTAAATAGCATATCGTCATCTTTACAGAAGAATCGATGTAGTTTATTAATGTCAACTCTACCTACGAAGATATCCAAAGCGAATTGAAGAGGGATGCAATCCTGTCGCACGAAACATCCTGGCAACACGTTTGTTGGAGCTACAGGTTTCGGAATTTTGGCATCACTTTTGTCTGTGTGCATATAATTAATAGCTGTTTTACAATTTCCTTTACAGTAAGATTTCAAGTCTTCATACGAACAAGTACAGATGATCTTTGTGTACCCCATCTTTGGCTTATATGAAAAAGTCAGTCAGTCAGAGTTTTAAGAGTAAGCTTGGTGCTTACTGTAGTTATATACCCCCCTTTTTTACCGTTTACAAATATGAAATCTTTTTAATTTCATCGTTTTTTGCACATTTTTCTTGGTGCAAGTTTATTTCAATATCTATTTCAAAACAAAACGAAAACATAAAAATATGCACGATATTAAAGTACTTACCTTTTTTATACTTTTAAAATATATAGAATGAGAATTCTCATTTAAGTAAAACAAAATATACTTTTCAACAAGTGAGCAATGTTTATTGAATCAAAACAACAACATAATACATTAGTAAAGTTCATTTCATTCACATATTAAACAAACAACAGAAATTCAATGAATAGTACAGTAGGCATAGTCCAGTTCCGGTTGGTTTTGAGCGAAGCTGTAAAAGTCGAAATCGGTAATATTTGAACAACCGACTATGCACAGTGTCTTGAGTCTCAGGTTAGCACTTGTTAAAACAGACAATGCAGTTGCATCAACTTGTTTGCAATTATAAATTGCCAAATGTTTCAAGTTTGCTTCCTTTTGAGCAATCATTTCGATCCCCTTGTTCGTTATTTTTTGGGCATGGGACAGGCTCAAATATTTCAGATTTGGCAACTTCCTGACAAGCACTTCAACACATTCATCTCTAAAATCATTGAAGATGAAAGAAGCATCGACATATTCGATGTGTTCTGGCAAATGTTTGATCCATCTGAAATCGGTCACAAACACGCGACTAATGTTCCTTGTGGTCAAACGCTTAATGACACTATTTTTGGGTGCACCGTCTAGATGCATCATTATAGGATTGCCCTCCCAAAAATCATTCAACCGATAACAAATGTCTTTTCATGACGTGAATAAGTGGACAGAACATCCAGCATCCAGTATGTTAAGATGGCGGAAAACTTCTTGAGTCTCGGCAACGGAGATGTCGTGGTCAACGAGTCCGCTGCGTACATATGCGCCGTACATTGGAAACATCTCGTTTCGGCCGTTGCAGAAAGGTGGATTCTACGAGTATAAAAAAGTCAAATTAGATTTTTATGCACTCCTACTATGATTTTCAAAAAAAAATCCAAATCACTCACCCAATCCACTCCAAATGTAAGATCTCCCTCGGAATACCAATCCATGTCCACACGTTATTTCGCAAAGTCATAAAGTAGTCGTAAAAATGATTTTTGGAAGTCTATAAGAGTTTGGGTGTGATTCGAAGTGTTGTTGGTGTTGTGACAAGGACAATCATCATCCTTCTCACCCCCAAATATTTTAACCAACCACAAGCTAGTATACCCCCCCTCCCCCCCAAAGCCATCTACCAATTATGTACATTTTTCTTTCAAAGTAGAACCTGTATTGACAAAAGTTAAGTGGTCGAAAGAAGGAATTTTACTCACCCCCAAATATTTTAACCAACCACAAGCTAGTATACCCCCCTCCCCCCCAAAGCCATCTACCAATTATGTACATTTTTCTTTCAAAGTAGAACCTGTATTGACAAAAGTTAAGTGGTCGAAAGAAGGAATTTTACTCGTAATCTGCGACGTCTGGGGAAGCCTGGGAGAGGAGAGTCCCTGTGATAAGAGGATTTCTCCCTCTTCTCTCGCGGTTGCCCGAGAGCTGACGGGAAACTCTTCCCGGGCATGCGCTGTGAGCAGTTAGCACAAATATGGCGTCCAGTGAATACCACCTATGTAGTACCGCTCGTTGGAATTAGCTACAGCATGAGCAATGTCAAGTGGTGAACGACACCCAAGAGCACAGCGTGCGTTTACACCTCTGTGAACTTGAGGTCAAACTTGGTCAAGTTTACGGCTGCTGGGGAACCCTTGTTGTCATTGATGTCATCCGGCGGGTCGAGGATCGGGCTGAGGGGCTGCACGGGTGCTCGTGAGGGCCTGTTGTAGCAGGTTGGCAGCTGGCAGAACGTCTCCTCGCACGTATGACACGATGGCAACACCGTCCACTACTGCCCACGCCGGTCGGGGCCGGTTCAGCACCACGTGCAGGGCTCGGATTGCATCCAAGTCCAGGGTCCGGTGGAGTTCTCGGCACCCCAGGGGCGCACTAGGGGTTGATGGCCTCGAGATGTCAGAGAAGCACGGGGGGGTGCATATGTGCGTACGTGCTTGCTTCGGGAAAGGGATTTGGCCCTTGGGGTACACCTAGGGTGCTCTTGGTTGCCGCTGGGGGGTTGGTATGATAACATTCCTAGGCTCTCTGGGCAAGGCATTCACACTGCAGTTGGTGTTATACTCACTGTAAGTTGGATCCGTAATGTCTGGTCGTGCTGTGTGGTGGCCCTTTCGTGCTTTCAATGTTATGACCGACCAGCATGGCTTGCACTCTCGTGTGACAGCTTGGCAGCGGTTCGAGTTTTCATTGAAATGCAGGATTGCAAATCGAGTCCTGCAAGATGGTTACATTTCACTGATGGTAAAGTGTGCCACAAACAGAGTGGTTGTTCTGGCATCAATCCAATTCCATTATCTGATCATTAGGAAGTGACTTGGGTTTGTCGCATTGTAACCAATGGACTGGATGAAAGTGTCTAAACGAGGGAAATGTGATTGTAAATTGGTTGACTTGCTTTGCAAGCATGCCTTCTGGGCTGACAGCCTGGGACTTTGGGGCGAAGTCTATCAGGACGCTATGGAACGCCTCCAAGGCATATGTCTGGCCATGGGAAGCCCAGAAGGATGTGTTTTAAAGTCTTTAGATACTGATACTCTTCCATTGTTTAATAAACACATTTTAGAACATCCATTTTTATACACATTTCTTTAGCCTCTCACCCAGACTCACCGCCCTTGAAAGCAGATAAACAGTTTAAAAATATAATCATCGTAAAGTTTATTTTCAGTTTCAAATATTATAATCATCACCAAAATTCACGAGATATCGAATAAAATGCACTTTTGGAAAGATGAAAAGCTTTTATTCAGTCAACAAAACAAAATATTTGTAGAAACGATTAAGACTTTACTGTAATATTTGCAAACAATAATTCAGGTAATTTTTGAATTACAAATTCGTTGAAATCTTTACGTGAAAAAGTTGTTTCACCGACGAGACAAATTGTTTTCAACTTGGGTAGCTTTTCGGCAATCGTGGATAACACCATTGGGGTGATATTTTGAATCTGTCGAATTGACAAATGTTCCAGATGCCGAAGTTCTCTACAGACATAGTCAATCGTCTTGTCAGTGCAGTCGGATCCGTCCATGATATCCATTACTCTACAGGCTTTGAAATTATCACAAATATCACTAATAAATTCGTCGTTACACACCATGCTGTTAAAGGTACGAATATATCTGCACTTTGGGTCCATTTTGTCGTCTGTAAAATGCATAGTAAATAGCATATCGTCATCTTTACAGAAGAATCGATGTAGTTTATTAATGTCAACTCTACCTACGAAGATATCCAAAGCGAATTGAAGAGGGATGCAATCCTGTCGCACGAAACATCCTGGCAACACGTTTGTTGGAGCTACAGGTTTCGGAATTTTGGCATCACTTTTGTCTGTGTGCATATAATTAATAGCTGTTTTACAATTTCCTTTACAGTAAGATTTCAAGTCTTCATACGAACAAGTACAGATGATCTTTGTGTACCCCATCTTTGGCTTATATGAAAAAGTCAGTCAGTCAGAGTTTTAAGAGTAAGCTTGGTGCTTACTGTAGTTATATACCCCCCTTTTTTACCGTTTACAAATATGAAATCTTTTTAATTTCATCGTTTTTTGCACATTTTTCTTGGTGCAAGTTTATTTCAATATCTATTTCAAAACAAAACGAAAACATAAAAATATGCACGATATTAAAGTACTTACCTTTTTTATACTTTTAAAATATATAGAATGAGAATTCTCATTTAAGTAAAACAAAATATACTTTTCAACAAGTGAGCGATGTTTATTGAATCAAAACAACAACATAATACATTAGTAAAGTTCATTTCATTCACATATTAAACAAACAACAGAAATTCAATGAATAGTACAGTAGGCATAGTCCAGTTCCGGTTGGTTTTGAGCGAAGCTGTAAAAGTCGAAATCGGTAATATTTGAACAACCGACTATGCACAGTGTCTTGAGTCTCAGGTTAGCACTTGTTAAAACAGACAATGCAGTTGCATCAACTTGTTTGCAATTATAAATTGCCAAATGTTTCAAGTTTGCTTCCTTTTGAGCAATCATTTCGATCCCCTTGTTCGTTATTTTTTGGGCATGGGACAGGCTCAAATATTTCAGATTTGGCAACTTCCTGACAAGCACTTCAACACATTCATCTCTAAAATCATTGAAGATGAAAGAAGCATCGACATATTCGATGTGTTCTGGCAAATGTTTGATCCATCTGAAATCGGTCACAAACACGCGACTAATGTTCCTTGTGGTCAAACGCTTAATGACACTATTTTTGGGTGCACCGTCTAGATGCATCATTATAGGATTGCCCTCCCAAAAATCATTCAACCGATAACAAATGTCTTTCCATGACGTGAATAAGTGGACAGAACATCCAGCATCCAGTATGTTAAGATGGCGGAAAACTTCTTGAGTCTCGGCAACGGAGATGTCGTGGTCAACGAGTCCGCTGCGTACATATGCGCCGTACATTGGAAACATCTCGTTTCGGCCGTTGCAGAAAGGTGGATTCTACGAGTATAAATAAGTCAAATTAGATTTTTATGCACTCCTACTATGATTTTCAAAAAAAAATCCAAATCACTCACCCAATCCACTCCAAATGTAAGATCTCCCTCGGAATACCAATCCATGTCCACACGTTATTTCGCAAAGTCATAAAGTAGTCGTAAAAATGATTTTTGGAAGTCTATAAGAGTTTGGGTGTGATTCGAAGTGTTGTTGGTGTTGTGACAAGGACAATCATCATCCTTCTCACCCCCAAATATTTTAACCAACCACAAGCTAGTATACCCCCCCTCCCCCCCAAAGCCATCTACCAATTATGTACATTTTTCTTTCAAAGTAGAACCTGTATTGACAAAAGTTAAGTGGTCGAAAGAAGGAATTTTACTCACCCCCAAATATTTTAACCAACCACAAGCTAGTATACCCCCCCTCCCCCCCAAAGCCATCTACCAATTATGTACATTTTTCTTTCAAAGTAGAACCTGTATTGACAAAAGTTAAGTGGTCGAAAGAAGGAATTTTACTCGTAATCTGCGACGTCTGGGGAAGCCTGGGAGAGGAGAGTCCCTGTGATAAGAGGATTTCTCCCTCTTCTCTCGCGGTTGCCCGAGAGCTGACGGGAAACTCTTCCCGGGCATGCGCTGTGAGCAGTTAGCACAAATATGGCGTCCAGTGAATACCACCTATGTAGTACCGCTCGTTGGAATTAGCTACAGCATGAGCAATGTCAAGTGGTGAACGACACCCAAGAGCACAGCGTGCGTTTACACCTCTGTGAACTTGAGGTCAAACTTGGTCAAGTTTACGGCTGCTGGGGAACCCTTGTTGTCATTGATGTCATCCGGCGGGTCGAGGATCGGGCTGAGGGGCTGCACGGGTGCTCGTGAGGGCCTGTTGTAGCAGGTTGGCAGCTGGCAGAACGTCTCCTCGCACGTATGACACGATGGCAACACCGTCCACTACTGCCCACGCCGGTCGGGGCCGGTTCAGCACCACGTGCAGGGCTCGGATTGCATCCAAGTCCAGGGTCCGGTGGAGTTCTCGGCACCCCAGGGGCGCACTAGGGGTTGATGGCCTCGAGATGTCAGAGAAGCACGGGGGGGTGCATATGTGCGTACGTGCTTGCTTCGGGAAAGGGATTTGGCCCTTGGGGTACACCTAGGGTGCTCTTGGTTGCCGCTGGGGGGTTGGTATGATAACATTCCTAGGCTCTCTGGGCAAGGCATTCACACTGCAGTTGGTGTTATACTCACTGTAAGTTGGATCCGTAATGTCTGGTCGTGCTGTGTGGTGGCCCTTTCGTGCTTTCAATGTTATGACCGACCAGCATGGCTTGCACTCTCGTGTGACAGCTTGGCAGCGGTTCGAGTTTTCATTGAAATGCAGGATTGCAAATCGAGTCCTGCAAGATGGTTACATTTCACTGATGGTAAAGTGTGCCACAAACAGAGTGGTTGTTCTGGCATCAATCCAATTCCATTATCTGATCATTAGGAAGTGACTTGGGTTTGTCGCATTGTAACCAATGGACTGGATGAAAGTGTCTAAACGAGGGAAATGTGATTGTAAATTGGTTGACTTGCTTTGCAAGCATGCCTTCTGGGCTGACAGCCTGGGACTTTGGGGCGAAGTCTATCAGGACGCTATGGAACGCCTCCAAGGCATATGTCTGGCCATGGGAAGCCCAGAAGGATGTGTTTTAAAGTCTTTAGATACTGATACTCTTCCATTGTTTAATTAACACATTTTAGAACATCCATTTTTATACACATTTCTTTAGCCTCTCACCCAGACTCACCGCCCTTGAAAGCAGATAAACAGTTTAAAAATATAATCATCGTAAAGTTTATTTTCAGTTTCAAATATTATAATCATCACCAAAATTCACGAGATATCGAATAAAATGCACTTTTGGAAAGATGAAAAGCTTTTATTCAGTCAACAAAACAAAATATTTGTAGAAACGATTAAGACTTTACTGTAATATTTGCAAACAATAATTCAGGTAATTTTTGAATTACAAATTCGTTGAAATCTTTACGTGAAAAAGTTGTTTCACCGACGAGACAAATTGTTTTCAACTTGGGTAGCTTTTCGGCAATCGTGGATAACACCATTGGGGTGATATTTTGAATCTGTCGAATTGACAAATGTTCCAGATGCCGAAGTTCTCTACAGACATAGTCAATCGTCTTGTCAGTGCAGTCGGATCCGTCCATGATATCCATTACTCTACAGGCTTTGAAATTATCACAAATATCACTAATAAATTCGTCGTTACACACCATGCTGTTAAAGGTACGAATATATCTGCACTTTGGGTCCATTTTGTCGTCTGTAAAATGCATAGTAAATAGCATATCGTCATCTTTACAGAAGAATCGATGTAGTTTATTAATGTCAACTCTACCTACGAAGATATCCAAAGCGAATTGAAGAGGGATGCAATCCTGTCGCACGAAACATCCTGGCAACACGTTTGTTGGAGCTACAGGTTTCGGAATTTTGGCATCACTTTTGTCTGTGTGCATATAATTAATAGCTGTTTTACAATTTCCTTTACAGTAAGATTTCAAGTCTTCATACGAACAAGTACAGATGATCTTTGTGTACCCCATCTTTGGCTTATATGAAAAAGTCAGTCAGTCAGAGTTTTAAGAGTAAGCTTGGTGCTTACTGTAGTTATATACCCCCCTTTTTTACCGTTTACAAATATGAAATCTTTTTAATTTCATCGTTTTTTGCACATTTTTCTTGGTGCAAGTTTATTTCAATATCTATTTCAAAACAAAACGAAAACATAAAAATATGCACGATATTAAAGTACTTACCTTTTTTATACTTTTAAAATATATAGAATGAGAATTCTCATTTAAGTAAAACAAAATATACTTTTCAACAAGTGAGCGATGTTTATTGAATCAAAACAACAACATAATACATTAGTAAAGTTCATTTCATTCACATATTAAACAAACAACAGAAATTCAATGAATAGTACAGTAGGCATAGTCCAGTTCCGGTTGGTTTTGAGCGAAGCTGTAAAAGTCGAAATCGGTAATATTTGAACAACCGACTATGCACAGTGTCTTGAGTCTCAGGTTAGCACTTGTTAAAACAGACAATGCAGTTGCATCAACTTGTTTGCAATTATAAATTGCCAAATGTTTCAAGTTTGCTTCCTTTTGAGCAATCATTTCGATCCCCTTGTTCGTTATTTTTTGGGCATGGGACAGGCTCAAATATTTCAGATTTGGCAACTTCCTGACAAGCACTTCAACACATTCATCTCTAAAATCATTGAAGATGAAAGAAGCATCGACATATTCGATGTGTTCTGGCAAATGTTTGATCCATCTGAAATCGGTCACAAACACGCGACTAATGTTCCTTGTGGTCAAACGCTTAATGACACTATTTTTGGGTGCACCGTCTAGATGCATCATTATAGGATTGCCCTCCCAAAAATCATTCAACCGATAACAAATGTCTTTCCATGACGTGAATAAGTGGACAGAACATCCAGCATCCAGTATGTTAAGATGGCGGAAAACTTCTTGAGTCTCGGCAACGGAGATGTCGTGGTCAACGAGTCCGCTGCGTACATATGCGCCGTACATTGGAAACATCTCGTTTCGGCCGTTGCAGAAAGGTGGATTCTACGAGTATAAATAAGTCAAATTAGATTTTTATGCACTCCTACTATGATTTTCAAAAAAAAATCCAAATCACTCACCCAATCCACTCCAAATGTAAGATCTCCCTCGGAATACCAATCCATGTCCACACGTTATTTCGCAAAGTCATAAAGTAGTCGTAAAAATGATTTTTGGAAGTCTATAAGAGTTTGGGTGTGATTCGAAGTGTTGTTGGTGTTGTGACAAGGACAATCATCATCCTTCTCACCCCCAAATATTTTAACCAACCACAAGCTAGTATACCCCCCCTCCCCCCCAAAGCCATCTACCAATTATGTACATTTTTCTTTCAAAGTAGAACCTGTATTGACAAAAGTTAAGTGGTCGAAAGAAGGAATTTTACTCACCCCCAAATATTTTAACCAACCACAAGCTAGTATACCCCCCCTCCCCCCCAAAGCCATCTACCAATTATGTACATTTTTCTTTCAAAGTAGAACCTGTATTGACAAAAGTTAAGTGGTCGAAAGAAGGAATTTTACTCACCCCCAAATATTTTAACCAACCACAAGCTAGTATACCCCCCCTCCCCCCCAAAGCCATCTACCAATTATGTACATTTTTCTTTCAAAGTAGAACCTGTATTGACAAAAGTTAAGTGGTCGAAAGAAGGAATTTTACTCGTAATCTTTAGGAAAGATTAGTTAGGATGATCCCTTCCTTGACAATCAACATCCTCCTCACCCACCAAATATTTTAACCAACCACAAACCAATAGACTACCCCCTCCTCTCATCTTCCAAACTCCATCCACCAATTGTGGCCACTTTTAGAGATAATATTTTACGAAGACTAATAAGATTATTCGTTTCCCAGTTTGCTCCCAAAAATAGGCAAAAACATTTCCTCGCGTTTATCTTTGAAAGACGCGTGTCGATGTGCATTTCTTATCAACTACTTCCACTACTGCATTATTTTATCAATGACCTTTTTGTGCGATTGACTTATAACAATAGCCAAGATTTTTGCGACTAATGTGCTTTTAGAAACACATAAATACTGGAAATACCACCAAGGCCAAGACACAAAAATGGATTTCCACACTGCATAGACCTCGAACATGAACGGTGCTGAGGTCTCTCTGCAAAAACAAGTCAACAGAATGCAAGGTGAATATTTTTTTACACTACATATGTACGAGTGGATGTTTTTTTTTTAATTTAGTTAGTTAGTTAGAGTTTTGCGAGTAAGGAATTATGGCTGGTAGGAGGGGCTGCCGCACAAGTACCATGGCCACCACACCCTTCTTGTTTAGATATTACTGTTTAAAATTTCATTTCCATCTGTTTATTTAAATATAGCAGGATGTTGTCCATCTGACAGCGTGAGAAACTACAGTAAGATGTGACATTGAAAATGCATATACTTACCACACCCCATCTTTTTCCTTTAATGTAGACATAAGAGAGCAAGGGGGGGGGGGGGGGTCACAAGGCATGGACGTGTTTTATGTTACTTCGGATATAAGGTTACACACTTCGAGACGGGATGTTCTTCACATGACATATTTATTTTCTCAAAGATTACCGTTAAAAAAATAACAGTATGTCTCCACCACCATTAGTGTTGTTTTTACTTTTTCGAAATAACGGATGTTTTTCGCGCTTAAGAAACAGTGCCTGCTTAACATCGATAACTTCTCCTTCTCGCAGAATCTCAACTCTCTCTATATATACAGCTATAGTAGAACGTGACCATGTGCTTTTCCACACAAAACCTCCACCCACACTCAATATTGCCTTACTCTGATGCTAGACGACGGATCCAGCTTCGACGAATACAAAGTCCTTGCGGAGCTTTTTGCCGGAGTATCCTACGACGAGGAAAAGATGCGAGGTAAGAGTTCTACTTTTTTAAAGAGTGTGTAAAAGAAACTTTATAGCTTTATTTTTATCGCGCAGGTGTGGATGCTATCATGGAAGATGCTATCATGGAAGTTGTTCCCGAAACAGAATGTTCTTGTGCTGATGGCCAAGTGGAGAACGACAACCATAACCATAATTTGCAGAAAGCTGTTTTACAAGAACTTAGAGAATTGCTCACGGCAATGTCAAAAACAGTTGAGCCCAATGCGCAAACCATGAAGGATAGCATCAACGACAGCGTCAACATAAATAAGACGCCTGCCAAAGACGATATCTTCATCGCAAACACAGATCTTAGAGAATGCCTGCTCGTCGGAGATTCCAATAGTTCTACGATAAGCGCAAACGGCGATTACATCCACAGCGAAGACGAATGTATACCTGAAGGTGTCGAATTCGCGAAAATTGAAGATTCGAACCACGAAGATCTCAGCAAAGTCACAATGTACAACATTGAACAGGCTGTTGCACGATGTGATTTTACTAGTACCCCCGCCATCAACATGGATTACGGTGATAGTGCCGTTGACGATGCATCCTTTCCAGACTTTTGCAACAAGTCGAAAGGCACTCAATTGCCAGCCGGGACTTTCATACGTACTCACCGTAACATCATTCCGCTCAAAAAAGCCGAAAACGTCTTTAGACACATGATAAATTTTAACAATCCGTGTCTTATTCACGGCAGTGTGAACTGGGATAATATCCTCGAGTTATTTTCCCTAACTACAGAAAGTGTCGAATTGTCTAAAAACACTGAAACGCCTACCCTATCGTGCACAAGATTAATCCTGAACTCCATAGAGTATATTGAAAATCTGTCAAAAGATGTTGAACACCTAAAAATAACCATTACTAATTTATCAGATACTCTCTTGCACAAAATAGTAACCAAAGCGCCAAGATTAGTTTCTCTCGAAATTGCCGATGCTTCGATGTTGTCCTCTCAATCCCTGCAACATGTGTCGTGTTCTTTAAGGGAGTTGCAACATCTAGTCATTTATCAATACTTTCGAATGACTAACAAAGGAATACGCTACTTGGGGCGATCTAACATGAAATTAAAAACTCTCTGTCTAATTGGTGACAAAGTGAATGAAAAAACTTTTCACAGAATTGTCAGAAACCACAGAGAACTCCTTTGTGCATTCTGTAATGTGATCGAATGAGTCCCCTACATTTTTTTCTGTATATATCAGCCACACATTCTGTACAAATGCATTGAATGATTTTCCTTTTATATGTATAGTATTGAACAAGTGTCTTTTTTACTTTGAACATGTAATAAAAACTATATATCGAAAAGTTCTTGATTCTGTTTTATTTATATTAGTTCTTTATCAATATGAAAATACTGATAACAAAAATATAAAAACATACCTGGAGATGTGGCGTATACACTCCCCCTCTGGGATGGCATGCCCCCTGGTGGCATGTATGCGTCCACCTGGCGGTAAGAAAGGCAATGCGATCCTAGCGACGCTTTTTATCCGTGCGCCGAACGGACTGACTAGAAATGAGTGGAGCAGAGCGACATAGGAAAAGTTACCCTAGCGGCGGCCATGGCGTCAACGTTGCGACTTCTGGTGGCAACATAGCGATCTTGGCGGTATCTCGTGGCGGTCTGAAACATTTATAAACACGTCCTGATAGGGGAGTCGGTTTACTATCTCTCAACACCTCACGTCATATAGATAAAAAGAAATATGAAAAAACATAGCATATTCTCCACTGACGACTAGCCTAAGAATGTGTAAATAAACCAGACTTTATTACACCCCCCTCACGTGTTGTTTTTGTCTGCGATTGTTCAGGACGTCCTAATAAAAAAGAAATGTTTTTTTTTGCTTGATGAGAATTTGTTCCCCCACGAGAGTTTTTTCAATGCCAAAATAACAACCTATAATCTTCTACACAATGTTTTAGTTTAATGTATATGACGCTATTCCCTTAATCGCAAGGTGACTAACGAAGTATAGTAAATAAAGATTTCATTTCAGTTATGAAAGAACGAATGTTTGCTGTTGATTGATCGTTTTATTCACACAATCATAATACACTCCATTATAAAATATTTCAATAGATGTAAAAACAAACCATAGTATACAAAATTTCCATAATGAAATGATGTAACATAACATTGCAAAAAACCATTACATTATAGAACAATGCAATCAAATAGTACAATATGCACAAAGAAGTTGCTTCTGGATATGAATAAGTCTTTGGAAACTGTTAAACTTCATGTTCTTGCTTCCGATTAAACAAAGCGTTCGAAGCGTAGGACGCGCAGCTGCGAGACACATCAATGCTACATTTGTCATCAGTTTACAATTCCTAATGTACAAATGTTCCAAATTAAATTTGTTAGCAATCATTCCCATCGCCTTGTTTGTTAGCAATGAACCGTCTTGGATATGAAGCAATAAAAGATTCGGAAATGTAGCTGCAATTATCTGCAAAGTCTGTTCATCTACTTGCAGCATTGCCGACAAATAGATATAACGCGTAGTTGTTGGAGTGTCGACCAACTCCAAAACGTTTGTTATAAACTTCAAATTGTCATGTTCGTTAGAATCCAAAAACAAATTAGTCATATCACACCAATGACTTTCTGGATGTTGCAAGCATAAATTAATGCACTCTACATGCTGCATAACCAACAGGGAAACCTCAAATGGAATACAATTTTCGTGAGTACGTATAAAACTTCCAAGTGGTAACGAATTAACAGAAATACCAGAGCAAGTTGGCTCCGCCTCCTCATCGTCGTCGTCGGCGACATCAGACCCATCGTCGTCGTCATCCTCATCATCCTCAAGGATGTTGTCAGTCTCGGAAGCAGCAGCAAACGCACCGTCCATTTTGTCGGTGATGGGACGTACCTCTTCGTCGAAGACCTTACGAAGTGATTGCAGGTCTCCATTGCACGATGATGGTTCGCAGATAGAAGTTTCCTTCGTCATGGCGATAGCAGTGGCATAGTCCCTTTTGTAGGTGGCAGGAATCTTTTCTTCTTTCTTGTCCTTGATGGTGGGGCTACGAGGTGATTGTAGATCCCAACAGGATGGATCAGGAGTAGAACGGCCATCTTCGTCCATAGCGTTAGTAGTAGTCACCGCATCGGTATCATGATCTCTTTTGTAGATGGTAGGAACCTGTTTGGTGGGTGGGCTGTCAGGTTCTTGTAAACTCCACGAATACGATGGTGATGGACCGGGAGTAGACAGCGTATCTTCATTCATAGCAGCAGTTGTAGCGAAGGCTACTTTTGCAGAACGCTTTTGTGGCACAGAATAAGATTTCTTGCGAAGTTGTTCCATGTCGATGTTATGGGATGTGTGTTGTGGTGGTGGGTGGTGGTTATATATCCACTTTTTCCTTCGCCTGTGGTAAGGGTATAGTTACCTTTCCACTCTTTCTGTAATGTTGACATAAATAAGCCATTGCAAAAGAAACCGTTTCATATTTTTATCTCTTCGCACATTCTCTCTCTCTCCCTCCCCTCTCTCTCGCCCTATCTCTATATTTCTTTCACAACTACAAACTAAGCAGCGGTGCGAACGGTACAATAAGAACATAACATATTTGTCATTCTATGCATGACCATTTCAAAAGGAAATGATTTTACATCTCCTCCTGAAAACGCCATTGTTCTCAATTTATCTTCTAATTCGAATAAATCGAATATGCTACTAATATCAAAATGTGTATACCGTTCTATAGATAAATGTTCCAATCGTGAAAAGTTTCTCGCAAAATTTAAGCAAGCTCTATTTGTCAACATTGATCCATCCCTAATCTCTAATAAAGAAAGAAGTGGAAATTTGGCAACTATAATTTGTAATTGATCGTCTGTGATGGGGGTATCGTTAGTAATTGTTAACATATTTATATTCTTTGGTAACTTGAAAATAAAATCGGGTTTAGTCGATATATGTAATGTAGGGTCGATAGTGATGTCAGCCCCTATAAATTCAACATGTTTCACATTCGTATAAAATAAGTCAACTATTTCTCGAAAGTGGCCTTCATCATTCTTCAATCGTGTAAATACGTTTTTTACGAACTCGTATGGAATAAAATTGTTACGAAGTCGATAGTAACATCCAGGAAATACAAATTCTCTAGCTAAATTAGGACGATAATATTTATACTCATCGTTAAACGATGAGAAACACATTATCTAAAATTAAATTTAAATATGCAAAAAATGCTTAGCTGCACCGTTTCAGAAATATTTATTGTTAATTATGCAATATTTATATCTTTGAAAAACAATTAGGCAGTTCTATTTTTGGAAATTCCTTTCATTTTTATTTCTGCACTCATTCAGAATAATCTGGCAGCGAGGGTATACACAAGTGTATATATAACAACGTCGAAGTCGGAAACCTTTCTCGTCACCTGCCCATGCCAGCTAATTGGGGCTAGGCTAACCTAGGTGACGTAAAACCTTAACGGCGCACCACCACCACCACCACCACGGAAACCTTTCAACTGGGTCCTCAGACTCTACAATTTGTTGTACTACCGTGGATTCTAATTTCACTGCATCGGAATGTGTCTAACATCCATGAATATACGGTAGATATTTTGTTTTCAATGAAATGTGTTTTAAATACTGAGGGAAATGGGATTTCTAGTCTATTTTTTTGAAGCTAATGTTTTTGTGGTTTTTTCTTCCAAAAAATGCAGACTTGCCATATCTTTTATATGCGGATGAAGATATGATGTGGCAATTGGACACTGGTGAAACTCAAGATCAAGCAGCGTCCTATACCATCACTTTTCCAAACTCGTGACACCTTCAAGACATCCAACTCCCACAAATCAAGATAAAAAAAGGATATCGATTTACAATACTATATAGTGTTAAAGTCTAGCGGAAACTGGTAAAAATACCATGTTGGCATAAGAATATCTAGTAGTTTCTACTTTTTTCTTTTATGCGATCTCTAAGATATTGATATTGTTTTACAAATGGAAAAAATGGACTTTCGTGAAAAAGACGATAACACTTTACCGAAATGTAATGGACTACAGTCGGCAAACCTTCCAAAAGGGTGTTTTCTTGCACGTAATAGCTCAATTTTATGTGCGGAAGAAGTTATGAGACACGTTTTTATGGGAAACCAACATTGTGATTTGCATTGTTTCACTTTATGGTCAGATATTATAGATTCTTTTAAAATTAATGTTAATATTGGATTCGTAATTTTAGACGACACAAAGGAATGTTCTGCGGATATATTAGTTATGTTAAAGAATGAAAAAACGAAGAGAGTTGAACTTTGTTCTCCTAATTGGATTCCTCATTTACCTAGTCACATCAGACGTCTCTTCATCTATGGAGGAAAATGGTTAAACGATAACTTATTATATGACATAATTCTTAAAGTACCCAATATATCGACGCTAGAAATCGAAAATGGGTCGAAATTGACTAATAATGCAATTCAATTCCTAATAACGAAATGTAGATATTTAGAACATTTTTACATAAATTCGTGTGAAAAAATAACTGATGTGACACTGTTATCGTTAGCAAATGCATCTGCACACCTTAAAACAGTGTGTTTAATATGTAATAGTGTACCGTTTCGATACGATGCTTTCAAATGTTTAATTGCAAAACAGTCTAGTATTTTGTTTGCATTTTGTACGGTGCAATAAAATCAAAAGTTGTGTTAAAGTATACATACATCTTTTTATTTGTCGTATAATATCTCGTTTTTCTTGGAATAAATATATCAAAACATTCCAATAGATATTTTACATTCTTCGTTCTTTGCATTCATTCCAGTAAAGGTGCAACATTCGTCAATTACATCATCGGTAAAGATAACCAAACGTCGCAACTTGTTACAAGATGCCACAAAAAACCAAATTTCATCTCTGCTTGGTTGTGTAACAACACTAATGTGTAGCGTTTCTAGATTGTGAGAATGTCCATGAATTTCTTTAAGTGTGTCAAAACACACTGCATGAGTTCCCATGAGATGAAGAAATATTAGGCGAGAACCTAAAGAACGAATTAAAATGTGTAAAGCACGATCATCGATAAAGTAACAACCGTCTATACTGAGTACACATAGTTGATCTAATGTTGTCAAGAGGATTGCAGCATCGACGGTCATTAAATCCGATACTACAGAAAATGACAACGTTTGTAAATGAGGAAATTTCGCAACTATCACAGCCATGTCTTGATTGGACAAATTCGGGATGTTTGTTAACTTCAAAGCTTTCGTGTCTTCTCGTAGATGAGGAATCCACGCGATCGAGTCGATTTCAACTCTTTTGATGGGACATCTCGCCAAAACACCAACCATCGCTGGGTACGGTTCTAATCCGGTTAATTTGGTGACAGCCTTCACCATGACTATACGAAGCATAAAAACTCGCTACTATGACATAAGCAGTACGAAATAGAAAGGCACGGCCAAGCAACACGAAAATAGATTCGCAATGCTATCTATACTAATATTGGCGATTTCCGTTTGTGAGGGTTCTTTTATACACGATGCGTACGTGAACGGTTTAGTGGTTGAATTTTCCGACACAAACGAACTCGTATCGTATCCAGAATTGTTTTCTCAAGAAGATCAAACGGCTAAGCGTTTCTTTGATTCTTTACAATTGATTCATCACATACGATATCCGTGTGACGTTTTGCGTGGAAAAAAGTTTGCAATATCTTGCGTTTGGTTTAAAGAAATCAATAGTCGCTTGCAAAATTATCTAGGAATAGTATGCAACAGTTCTCTGACAGCGATATCGCATGTGTTGCGTCGATATTCGCTAATTGCCCATATACCAAACAATGCTGACGTACTTTTAACTACGTTGTCTAAGAGGTATATGCAATGCAGATTAGACGAAGAAGTATACGCTTGCAACGAATTATACAAATCGATTAATATAACAAGTTGCGCAGATGTTCGACAATTTAATCGTGTTGGCAGAGTACTTCTTCCTTGTCCTTTCCTCTTCAACAAAACAAACAATAATTTCACAGCGAGAGAGGCTGCGGATTGTTATAGATGGTTTAGTACCCTAAATGATTTGCGTACATCCACGTGTGGATCTGGTGTAATACAAGATATAAACAACTGGTTCGCTATATCTGGTAAGAGTAAGATATCGCTAGAACGATATAATTATAATATAAGAAATTTGGAAATGAATTTGAATAGGCTGCAAGTTGAACTCAACGAGAACAAGACACGTTTATTACAGGAAAAATTTGATTTACCTAAGACACAATTTTGTAATACTACAATTAATAATACTAATCAAACTAGTGGCGCATTAATAACAACGAAACATATTGATCTAGTTCTTAATCAACAAAAAGAATATTGGAAAAAACTAAACGAAACTTTACATACTAGTTACTTTAAAGCTATCGAAGAAATATCTAAAGAAACAAATAATAGTTTATTCCATTTAATAGTAGATGGAGAACGTAAGAAAATATTACATAACTTTTACAACAATACGAATTCTCAATTGAATTGGACAACAGCAAATAATTTATTACGAGAACGCGATGAAGCATTGGCGAAACGAGATAACTGTACGCATACCATAACAATGCTCACTAACATATCAAATAACATTGCATCTCAATGCGTTGTGGACGAGCGAACGCGAATATATGTAGAAAATTGCGAACGCGAAATACATATGAATCAAGATCTTTTGCATAATAGTCTGACTTACAGTTTGGCTAATTATACAAAGTTAAAAAAATGTAATCACGAATTAAATATTTGTATGTTGGATGTCAAAAAATCTGCATTATCTTGTGTAGAATGCCACGTATTATCTAAAAATTTGAAATCCGAATTGTTAATGAAAGACATGCAAATTGAATCTTATAATACATTGTTAGAAGCTTGCCGTGAAGAAAAGGCGTCTCGAAATTGTTATGAGAAATTAGAAAATAGTTACGAAGATGCTTCCAACTTGCGTAACAAATTGCATTTATGTAATACTTTAAACGACGACTATAAATTCTTAAACAATAAACAAAGCATCGAATTAGAAGAATTGAGTGCGAATTACGATGACGTTGTGCGTTATAAACAAATGTTTCTAGAATTAAATGAAGTACGCATAAGTAAACAATTGGAGATGCATAACGTTACCTGCGAAACAAAAATAAACGAGGCTGTGAGTGTTGCGTTATTAAAATCATCAAATGTTTATAATTCGCATTTCAACCTTCTATATGGTTTGGAACAAACAGTTGAAACAGAAGATTGTGAAGAAGAAATAGCTAGAAACGTTAGTTTAGCAGAGGTGTATACACCTACGTTGGAAAGTTTACGGGAAACAACGCAATACACAGCTAACATAAATTGCGATGTCCAACGAATCGATTGGTGTATTCAATACATGTCCTCCGATATGCCACCGTCGAGTATAGACGTTTTGCGGTACTTTAACGTTACGAGAAAGGTAGTTTACCAACCGTCGTGTGAAAATAGAATCAACAGACTCAATGAGAGCGCTCACGTCATGCGTTTATTAACATACAACTTATTTGGGCGCGAAGAAAAGTACACCGGTGAAACATCTTCTGCATTAGAAATATGCAGAATATACATTGCCCAAGATAGAGACTTACTCGAATCCATAGATAAAAAACCCATTTACATTTATCGCGATTCGTCCCTCCCTTTACCGGATCTACCACACGTAGAAGACGTTACCGATACCGATGATTTACAAACGTTATTGCTGCAAAGAGATTTACAAACATGTCGATATAATCTTAAAGAATTAGAAGTAAGCAATGCAGCTTTACTTAACATGAGTGATATACTTTTAAGAAAATGGTATACGGTTAAGGATACGTCGGATTTTACGGAAACGGAAAGAGACATATTGAATGATATAAAAAATAAGACCAAAATTACAATACCGCTAGAAACACCTTCCTATTCCGATAAAATCATAAAATGGATACAAGAAATTATTTACGTATTTACCGGTGTTGTTGTCACGTTTATATTTTTTCTTTTGACTGGTAATGCAGCAGCTACGTATAAAATTAATAAAAAAAAATAAAACAATACATCTTCCTTATTTCATTTCTCCAAATTGCAACATATTTCGCGTTGTTAAAGATGGCCACGCTTGGGGTTTATCATTCTTCTCATCATCATCATCATCATCATCCTCATCAAGGGCAGAATCATGATTTTTAAGAGATGTATTTTTTTTCTTTTCTCGTTCGTCTTTCGCAATAACTTTTTGTTTGGACCAATTCATATACCCCATTCCTCCGAGAGTGCTTACACAACCAAATATAGTACCTCCTATAGAGTAAACTCCACGTTCTAAATTTGCAGGATCCATTTTTAAAGTATTTGCAGTATTTTGGAAAAAATTATGTGGGGTCCAATTATTACAAAGTCTCTTTAAGTAACTTTCTGAGTAATTCTTCATTTGAATAGCAATAATTTTATCTACAGCATCTAATATCATTTGCCTCTTTTCATCTACAGTAGAATGTACTGCAGTTTTCCAAATCGTATCGTTCAAAAACACGTCAAACGTGCAATTATCTAGAGCAAGTAATAATGACTGTGACATATCACTATTCATTTGCATTAAATCGCGAGAGAGATTCTTTTCGCGCGCATAACAGTGTTGTATGACCTCACGTGCTTTATATGTATTGTTGTTAGCCACTTCCACTTCTCTACTACATCTTTGAACGTACGATACGTATTTTTGGTCACACAATATATCTAAAGAAGATATTCTGTCAGTACAGAAATCTAAATTTATTTTCGTCAGATGTAGTTCGTTTTCACACTCAGATACCTTCTTTCTGAAAATGTTTTTATCTTTCATTTTGTCAATATCACACTGAAATTTTAGTCTCTCGGTTTC